CCCCCCCCCCCCCCCCCCCCCCCCCCCCCCCCCGATGGGTTCAAATTTGTACTCTACATACTTCAACACTCCTTTCAGATCGTGTTTCACAAAATATAAGCAGTGGTGGACATAAGCTAAAATTTGAATCATTCTACCAACTTGACTACCGAATGCAAACCGAAATGCAACTGATCCAAGGGGGGAAAAGCGCGACTTCCGTACTTCAGTACTCCCTTTGTACTCCCCTGTACTTCTCTTGTACTTCCCTCGTACTCCCTCATACTTCCATCGTACTTCCATTGTACTTCGCTCATACTACCATTGTACTTCCATTGTACTTTCATGTACTTCCATGTACTTCCATCCAATAGAAAAGTAGATGCAACAGCTTCACGAAATGCTCAGAATAGCTGCTGGAATCCGTTTGACTGTATGTTTTTGAGGTTGGAAAACTTGAATCTGCCATCAAATTTTAGATATTTTTTACCGGATGCTTTTTTGATCAAAATATTTTTTTTTGAGAAAGAATTGATTTCGGTAAAGTTTGACCGAAGGTTGTCAAGATCGGGGAACTCGAATCTGGCATCGGTTTTTAAGAAGTTTTTAAAAAGTTTTTAAGCAATTTGTTTTTGGTAAAAAATATTTTTTTGAGACATACATTATTTTCGATAAAAGCAGGAGGGTGGATTATGCTGTTTTGCGTCCCTCCCCTCTCAGATTTGAATTATTTCTATCATTTATTATTTCGGGATCATTCTTGATCACTTTTTTCAACTTCGTTTCCCAAAAATCGACATCGATGATTTTTTTGCCTAGGATACCCCACAGGTATCATCGAAAACAAAATTTGTTTTATCACAAGCCCAAACCAGATGTAATTGTAATTATAATGTACTTTCTATTGGTGAGATTCCTGATAATTCCTTTGATATCCTCGTATACATACATTTAATACTTAAGTTTAGTCTTCCCGTATTTGCTGATCTTACATTTTTATTTTTTATCCTTTTATCTAATTTTTTTTACATGTGTATCAAAAGAAAATGCTGCTTAAATACAAATACATTCAATAGAAAGGACGCAACATTGTTTGATCACCAGAATCAAGTTTTTTAAGACAGTCCACCATCTGATTCAATATAATTTTGTATGGATAATCATCTGGAAATGTTGCTTGTTCACATTTATGAATAAGTGTTCTTTGATCTGCAATTGTTCGAAGATTATGATGAGCACTCTCGTGTCGGTCTGATACAATTTTTCTTAGATCTATTAACTTGATGGTTGCATTTGTTCGCTCTTTTAATTCTTGTTCAATTGGATCCAACAGCTGAACGACCATTGAATGATTTTGTACTTGATCGGTAAAAACGTTCTGTTTATCTAATTTCAATAATCGAATAACTTCTGTTTCAACTTTAGACCATTCTTCTATAAAAAAAAAAACAAGAAAAAAAATTGTTTTTGAAAATTGCAATCTTTAACTTGCTTATTAAACGACTCCACTCTTTCAGATACGGAGCTTTTTCACGAATTACTTTATTGACGTAATAAAATTGAAATAATCGTACGACTTCATAAGCATCGATTTGAATATCTCGAAGTAACCATTGTGATTCAAGATTATCCAATCGTTTTTGTATATTATTAATTGTTTTTTCTTGTTCTTCTGTTCTTATTGCACTTGCATCGACACAAAGCTTTAACTTTTGGATCTCTTCCATAATAGATTTGAATACATTTTCGAATCCATCTTTGCCATGAATATCAATACCCAATGTAGATAGAATTTGTTCGATATAATTATAAATATTATCATGCAATGAAGCTTTTCGAATATGTTCAAAAATAGGTATACATGACTGGAATGCTTTTCCTTTTTTTTCTTCATTATCAATAGAAATATTGATGAGATTATACTGTTCTAATATATTACAAATATAACTGAATTCTTTTTTAAATAAATCATTGACAAGTGCAGAAGAATAACATTGCGTCATCCACACTATTTGTTGTGATCTTGCAATAATATTGATTGACATAGAACGTGGAATTCTTCTACAGCAATACCATAAAATATTCATAATTCAAATAATAAGTAATGATCTAGAAGTAAAATGTGATGATGAAGAATAATAATTATATGATAAATAATATTAACATATGATGAAAAATCAAATACCACGAGTAGTATATCTGAAATATTTAGTGAAAACATATTTATTATTCTGTTTGTGATAAATTGTATAGACTTGACAATAAATAATAAAGAAAAGAATACGAATTGGATCATATTTTATTATTGAGATCTTTCTTCAGCTACTGGTTTTTCATCAAAGTGCTAAATGACACTTGTTTTAAATAAAGTATAATAAAATTTCCAAAATGTGCAATATTAGAGTTATGCTAAATTATGAAATATTTCATATAAATTTATTGTAGATATTTTCCTACTCGAAGTGGAGCTTACGTTTAAGTTTCGCAAAAATGCGTTCTTTTCACCAAGCAAATTTTTTAGGGTTTTATTCGATTCTTAGCTTACCAATTCTAAAAAAATCATTGAAGTCTTCAAAATTTTTATAGGATCTGAAAAGTTTTTAATTGTGTCTCCCGATTTATTGACGTCCCATTTCCTTCTCTTGTGTCATGAAAACATTTGGGTTAGGAGTGGCAGTCTATTTTTAAAGTTATCTGATAGAATATTGTTTTAAGTTGATATTAAATACTTTAAAATTTAACTTTAAAAAATTGAAGTTTCATTAGATTATACCACGAAAAACATGTTTTGTTGACAAAATTGTATTTCTTTGATTAAAAAATAATTCTCTTTTAAAAAATAATTATATTACAAAATAGATCATTTGTTGACGTAAATTTCATTTTTTTCAAATCATTTTATTTGCGAAAAAAGACTAAAAATATAATTTAGCTTTAAATTAAAGTTAAAGTGTCATCCCTAATCGAAACACTGGTGGTATACACTGTAAAAAAAAGTAGGAGCTATACGAAACCTCAAGAAAAGGTTCGGTAGATGAGAAAAAGCTTGGAAATGTGTTGAAAGTTTCAAAAAACGAATAAAAAAATACGCAGAGCCTTTAAAGGATCTTACCGTGTACTCAAGTGAAGATCCTTTTTTCTTCGGAACCTTTTTAAGTTCCGTAGGCCCCAAAATAGGTTTTGTAGGAAAATACGAAACCTTTAGAGTTTCGTATTAAATATAATAGTTTTACAGGAAACAAAGTACGAAACTCTAATGGTTTCGTATTTTCCTACAAAACCTATTTTGTGGCCTACGGAACTTAAAAAGGTTTCGAAGAGAAAAGGATCTTCACTTGAGTACACGGTAAGATCCTTTAAAGGCTCTGCGTATTTTTTTATTCGTTTTTTGAAACTTTCAACACATTTGCAAGCTCTTTCTCATCTACCGAACCTTTTCTTGAGGTTTCGTATAGCTCCTATTTTTTTACAGTGTATACTCGAATAAAGTAGAATAGAAAAAATATACAACTTTTTGTATGTGACAGCCCTGTATGAACAGTTGTTTTATCTAATATTTCATATACGAGTACAAAGAAGCATTAAAGAGAATTAATACTAATTAGTTAGTCTATGGGTGTGGGTGTGACGATAAGACTAACACCCGCACCCACACCCACACCCTTTTATTTACTGTTTGGCCTGTTTTTCATCATTATATTTGATTTGACGCAAGTTTTTCTTTCTCCCCACTGACTCTTATAATATGTAAATGGAAAATTATACAATACGGTCGAAAGCGGTTCTCTAGCTACCGGTAATAAATAAATCAAGCACTAAAAGGAGACTTTCCTAGTGCAAATTCATACAAATTGATCTAGATGTTATACCTGTTGGAGCGATGTATTTTTAAGTGTAATTGACCTCCAAATAAAGGGGATAATGCTGTTATCTACAAAAAAAAGAAAATATATTTAAAAAACATAATATCACAGTATGAATTAAATATATCTAGGGATGTGCAGTATCGGTGTATTGACCACCGACTTGCACCGACGATGTGTCCAGTGAAGCACTGACTACACCGGCAGTGTGCGCAGTGGAACACCGACCACACTGTCACCGGTGTCACTGAAACACCGAAGATAGGGACACTGACGACACCGATATCTTTCTGGTTGACTAAAGACTTCAGTCAATCAAACGTTGTCAGTTTGTCAGTGTTTCACTGATCATCAGTGCTTAAGTGAAGTCGATGCCAGTGACACTGATTACAGTGTGGTCGGTGTTCCACTGGACACACCGTCGGTGTAGTCGCTGATCAGTTTTTCAGTATTTACACCGACACTGCGCATCCCTAAATATATAATATTTCATATAATAACCACACTATTTTCAAGAATAGATAAATAGAAAATAGATACAAGAAGAAACATGATAATACAAATAAAGATGAATTTCATATATGTTCGGGATAATAATATAAGCTAGAAAAAAAAATAACATTGTGAGATAAGGCGAAAATCTGAAATAAAATAAGGAATATATTCGTATATATGTGCATTTATTTATATTTAAAACTGAATTGTTTTTTCAAAATAAATAAAAAGAAAAAATACTTACAATTTTCTACAAGACTTGATAAATAACTTGAATAGTTTCTGTACACACTTTAAGCTTGACTTATACATTGCTTGTGTATGACTGACTAGTCATTTTTGAATTAGAACAAAGCTCTAGACGTATCAATATATATCAGGTCTAAACGTCTAAAACAAATAAGACGCCTCAATGTCTATTTTATTCAAGCGTCTAAAAAGAAAACGCTTCTCAAGTCTAACTTATGTCTAAACTTGACTTTAGACAGATGCACCGTCTTGTAAGACGCAAGTCATCTTTTTACAGTGTGTCACTCTAAAATATCAAGACACATGAAGTGTACAAATAAGACACTTAGCGCCATTTCTGATTGGTTGGTAAAGGTCTAAAGTAGACACTTATGTTATGTGTCCGCGGATAACCGATTTAGAACGCTTGAGCGTCTTAAAATTTTCTGGGTGGACTATTTCCACCAGTGTATATAGGCGTCTTAGAAGTATCATTTTTAGACGCTTCTATCAATCTATGGTTCACTAACTCAAGAATTCATGTTTTTATATGAACATTAGATATTATAATTTCAACTTTGTCGACGTTTCTCAATGCACATGATAATTAAAAATCATTTTTAAATAAAATAAGCATTTCTCTCTATATGCCCGACCAAAAAAGAAAAAGACGAAAAACGAGAAAAGAATTTTTTTTATTTAATTTTTATTTAAATTTAACGCGGATGATTCACGATAATTATCAAATCATCATAAAAATTGTGGATATGTATGTTATCAAAAGCAAATGTTTGTGTAACAATTAAAATTTTTTCGGCGATTCGGAATGAGTATTAAAAATCATTTATAAATATAAATCAAATAAACAATTCTCTCAAATTTTGCGCCTAATTAAAAAACGAATTTTGCTTGTGACATGTGTATGTTGATGAGCATTATATCTGATCGATATAAAAGTACAAATATCCTTCTAATTCAAGGGGGAAATGACTCTTCTTTTAGTTTTAATTCCTTAACTCAGTTCAATTTGTTTCCACCATCATCAAGATTTTCTGATCGATTAAGTGTCGAAAAATGTTTAGATTTTATGTCAAGTTTGGATAATCAACAATAGATGAAATGTCATTTTTGGTGTTTGTCCATATAACTTATCTTCATCTAATGACTTCTCATCGGAGTCATTCGTATTGAAGTAATTATATTGAAAAAAACTAGAATGTTGTTTTGAAATTGTTTACAAATATGTTGCACAAAAGAGGAACACAATTGAAATAAAAGGATGTAAAATTACGAAAATCTTCAAAAGAAAGCTTAAATTTTTTAATTGACGATCAGAAGAAACTGACTACTTCACATCAAATTTTACTGGAGAAAGCAAAACTTCATATGACCAACTCAATGAATCATAGAAATCGAAAAGAGCTCATAAACAAATGTAGTCAGTAGTCGCTTTGGCACCTATGCTGTTTTTTATGTTCTTGGCCCCTTTTTCTTGTTTACCAAAAAAATAAAATAAAATACAACAATATTGTAATAAGGTAAAAAATTACCAATATTTCCTTAGTGATTATGTTCAGCTATGGTGTTTTTTTCATCGAATTTATTCATATGCGTAAAGAGAGAAAAAAGTTACATCAGCCTTGTGAATTGCACGGTTGATACGAACCGTGCAAAAATGTAAAATATAATGTTTAATTTCGAATATACCAAGCCAGGAATCAAAGAAAACGAAGTAGCTGTTTGCCAGTTAACAGATTTAAAGGAGAAAAAAACTCATCATTTATCAGCAGAATATTATTCGTTGAATATTTCAAAGAAAAACTCTGTTGCAAAGCGAACTAAAAGCAACTTGCTACTTCCTCTGCAATTAATTGTAAAGGGAAGACGCTAATAGGTTCTCTAAAAAATCGAAACTATCTCATTTTCTACAAAGACTATTCTTTATTCGTAATCATTTTTTTGTTGCGGTGTCTTTATTTCTTCGGTGTATAAATGAAGCTATGACACAATAATTTTAACTGATCAATTTTTAAACTGTTGAATACTTCATCTATATGATTGTAGAGGTTTTTTATACAGCAGAACTTAAAAAAACAAAATCATTTTGCCCCGAGTTTCATTCGCAAGGCTAAATAAATAGCGATCAAATTGCAAAAGAAGTGAAGCATACCATAATTATTTCTACGTTTGATTATTTTCACATAAAATAATCAGTACATTACAATCATTACTAAATGAAATAATTATACTATATATTTTGTAAATTATCATGATTTGAAAGAATAATATCTTTATGATCACTAAATATCAGTTTCAGTTTTCTTATTGACTCAGTTTTTCTGACGGATTCTCGTATTCGTACCACTTCTTTTAGTCCACTCAATCATTGAAAACGTGTTGATCAACAACATAATGTGCTTCTTTTATGCGAAATGTTGATTTTTATAGATGAATTCCTGATATTTGTGATTTTATATACTCAACACGTTTTCATACTAATTCTAAGCAAGTTAATCGTGGTTCGTATGTGAGTTGGATTATTCATACATAATGTCGACTGAGTGGATTATTATTCTCAAAGTGTTTTGATTGCTAAATTAGAATAAATTAAATAAATTTGTATTGACACAAACGAAGCAAAGCTTTTCAAGTTCATGATAACATTTAATTGTTATCGATGCAGTAGCTGCATTAACTTTATTTATTTCAATAAAAAGAAATACAATGTAATTGAACGATGAAACGTTTTCCATATTGACCTAGTAGATTACGGTAGATTCCATTTGACAAAATTCATAATCTCGGCATAATTAGCCAACGTTGCTATTTTCAATATAATTAGAAATAAATTATGCCTCACTTTATCCTTTAACTTGAATGTAGAATAAAAAGCAAGATTGTCATAGTAGAAAAAAGATACAGGCTAACTGTAAAATACTTACCGTTATTCATCAGTTACCTTTAGAAATAATATCTTCCAAATAAGATTAAAAACATGTGCTCTCAGGAAACGACTAAAATTTGTCTTATGGATATGAAATTCATCTCTTCGATACTCGGCTTCCAAGACACATATGAAGAAAAGGTCGAAGATACACCGATGACATTCGATGCATTGTTGTGTGTTTCAATATTATCAACACAAACAAGCATCGTCTCCATATCGGTGGCCTTCGACATGCTCGATCGACCCGAAGCATCGGTATTAAGCGACGATAGCAGGGTTTCTTTGTGATCGAGACACGCCGGAAGCCGGGTTTCTAACTTAAACATAAAAAGTCCAAGTAAATTCGAAGAATGAACTGTTAATGCATAGGCAAATTTTTCGCAAACGAGAGCACACGTTTCCAATCCGTCATCGTGTAGGTTTTTTAGGCCGCCGGATGTGTGTTTAGTAACACAGCACGCGGTTGATGATCAAAACTGGAAGATGAGAGAAAACATAAAAAGCATGCCTTTATATATGCAGTTATCGACGTTATTTCACAAGCGATAGTCAACATAAAATATTCTCGAAGAACAGAACGAAGAAAAAAAATTGCGTATTACTTTTCGATGGTGTAAGTCGTATTTTTTTCTTCCTATTTTACCTCGTGTGTTGCAACGACGGCATTACCTTAGCATATGATAACCTTCTGAGTCAACAAGAGAATGAAGAAAAACAAAACATAATTGTAGGCGTAGTAGAAAAACAATAGACTAAAATTAGAAATAAGCAAAAACCTCTGATGTAGTCGAAATTCTACAAAGTCTGATTGAGTCTTTCAGCACTCACTATCCGAATGTGAAGTAGTTAGCACTATAAAAATTGTTGATAGTTGAATATTGACTAGTTAACTTATATTGTATACAAAAATGCTCAATCAGTATAGATTTGACTTTACGTATTTTCAGAAATTTTCCGTGAGCAATTTTGAATAAAAGCACTTTAAACATGATATTGACGTAGAAATTTTTAAAACACCTGTACATTATATAGCACATTGTTAGTTTCAGTGAGACTAGAGGGTGTGGGTGTTTGTGTAGATATAATTTCTTTTCGTCTAATGACTTCTTTTGAGAGATCGTCCCCATTGAATCAAATAGCAAAATCTGTAATGAAGTATATTAAAAGAAATAGGTGAGTATTTTTCTAAAGTTAGTTGTTTCAACTTCGAGAATGGTATTCAAACATTAATTAATATGTTCTAACGTAAGTATAATAAAAGTGTCGAAAAATATTGATCTTGTCACTTTACAGAGCGCATTTTATGAAAGATGTTTTCTTCGTAGTTCTTATCCTTATCAGTACGAACTATAAATGAATAAGTTACAATCTCTGAAAAATATCTAAAAAGAAAACGCGTATCAAGCTGTGTTCGACATAGATCAACTAAACCAACGTTTTTCAGAAATCAAAGTTTTTATTTTTAAGGAAATTTATTGAAATTCTCAAAATCACCAATAACTTATGTGAAGTTTGATAGCGATGAAATCATTATGAGACGACTGGGCACGGAATTCGAATGTTGTTGACAACCCAACACTATTGAGACTTCAATCTAGAATGTATGAAATTTCATTTTTGTTTTGAATCGATTTGTTCCTTTTACTCATTCAGAATTTTCTCTAATAGCAACAAATGAAAACGAGTAGAAATGCATTCATTCATTTCTTTTGAAATATTTTTTTCTTGTTGTTACTCTGAGATTTTCTGTTCCAGTTCGAATAAATTTTAAATAACGTTCTCGCTATGCAGTTTCGATTAAACCATGGTTAAGAAAACATGTTATTACGGTACCGATGAACATGTGGGGGTATTCCTTTATTCTCTGCTTCACCCACACCCAATGATTGCATTCTAGTTGAATCTAATAATTGATAGGAAAATGTAGGAGTACAAATTACGAAAAATAGGACAGAATGGAAAAAATGAGTTAAACTTGATTATTCTTCATCGAATAAACAGAATCACTTGGTATTTAATTGAAAAACAGCATAATACAACGCTTGAGGATTGGCTGATGAGTTTTGATCATAATCAAGTGTAGCCTTAAGATGAAAACCAACAGTTTCTAATTTCTGCTGCCACTCAGCACGTGTTCGATATTGAATTGAACTCGTATATTCAATAATATTTAATTTTTGCTGGTTCCAATCAACGTTATCACCTAAAAGATCATCATTAGGTTTAACTTGGTTGTGTTCTGAATGATCATTTTGTATGGAGCCAAATTCACCGACACGTGCAATCATCATGAACGCATGAACGAAGTTAAGAGTTGTTCAGAAATCACCGCAACATGCTTTTGGTCATCTAGGGGCTCCTTCTCGCCGTCTGGCTCAAAAGGAGATTTTTTTAAATAATTCAATCAATAGAAAGTTTTCTCGTTTTTTTTGGGAACACGAACAGTTTGATGCATGAAATTCTGATGACATCGAGAGTTATAGGCAAACGCATCTTCGAATTTTGGAAGCTCCTATCAAATTGCAGGAATTTGCTGCAAATTATATATTAAAACTTCCTTCTTCACCCTTGTAAAAAGTTATTTCTCTTGTGCATTCGACCATGTACGTGTTAAATCGAAAGGGTTGGCCGTAGAAAGGCCGAAAGGGAAAATGTCGAAAAAAATACTGATGTGGAAAGTGGTCGGAAAGTCTTTGAGAAAATTCTGCCTTCAGAGAGAGAGACATGATTCACTGTGTACGTTAGCACTAATATATATCAATAGAAAAACAACATAAGTCAAGGTATCAAAAAATACAACAAATGAAATGTTTTTTTTTTCGGTTTTCAACTGTAAATGACAAACCGTCTAAGTATTCCATCGCATTTATAACACAACACAATCATATTATCTTTCCTCACGATTGCCGATACGACGTTGACTTTCGATTTGTATGTTTGGCTTAGGCTCATGGTAATGATCAGTTGAGTCACATTTTCTAAAACCGAAACCACACCCGATCCTGGCTGCAACTCCGTAGATTTTTTGTGACTTTCACTCCAAATCTATTCACTAGCTTAGAATGCGGGCTTGGGTGTGAGTATTCTGTTAGCAAGCACTCAAATCCATCTCCACTCACACCCATACTCTAATTTTTCGACATTATTCCCTTTCCATATTTTTCCTAGCTAAAGACGTTAATTTTTTTATGCCCTTTTACATTTCTGCTGTGAGAATGAGTGATATTTCATCGACTTTATTATATGTTACTTTCTATGAGACGACCTATTTTATGAACAGTAGTTTAAGATATTTTGCTGGAAGTTTATACTCCCTTTTGCAATCGTGTTCACGTATAATAAGATAACCATTGGGTCGTAAAATGCGGACAAACTCAGC